GGGGGACCCCGCCCCCCCGGGCGCCCGGCGGGTGAACGGCCATGCCCCCTGGCGCCCGGCAACCCCAAACGGTTGGGGACCACTGATTTAGCCTCTCTCCTCTTTCCCATCTTTAAAACAGATAACACTGTTTCAATAGTTGGAGGAGGTATTCTGAGCATGAATGCGTAGTTAGTGAAATGATAAATGCTTATTATTTTGGGGGACCCCGCCCCCCCGGGCGCCCGGCGGGTGAACGGCCATGCCCCCTGGCGCCCGGCAACCCCAAACGGTTGGGGACCACTGATTTAGCCTCTCTCCTCTTTCCCATCTTTAAAACAGATAACACTGTTTCAATAGTTGGAGGAGGTATTCTGAGCATGAATGCGTAGTTAGTGAAATGATAAATGCTTATTATTTTTTTAAATAATTTTGTAATCTTTATTTTTGCCTGACCATATTCCCAGTTACTGAGAAAACAAATAGTTCATATACATGCATGGTCCAAATTGACATAAGCAGTTCACAGTTTATGGAACAACTTAAGATACCTAGTTTTCACAGGGAACTTACTCATCATTTTCTGAATGTTAGATCCTTGTAAGGTATTTGGGCACCTAAAGTCACTAAACCCATTTTTCAAGACGTCTAAAGTTGAACAGTAATTGCAGTCAAGCATCATCACCATGGCTAAGCAAATGCACTTTTCAACTAAACCCAGTCTAGTAGCATAAATATTGTACATGCTTTCATATTGGTTTGTTCTACAGTCAATAACCAGATGTAACAATAGAGTTTTATGCTGTTCCCCTGAATGTGAGCGTATTTATTGCCAGACCAAATATTTTTGAAAGTGTTGATCCTGGATCCCCATGCAACCAATGGTATCTAATGACAATAAAGAAATATTGTAAGACTGTGCCATTGTGACATGTCTCAACTTAACCCAAACATAATACTTAGGAAACGAACTAATTAACCCATGACTCAGACCTAAATAAAATATCTTCCCCACCCTCTCCCCCACACACATACTATATAGATTGGGGGAAAAAAGCAGCAGATGGGACATTCTCCCAAGGACTCTGTGTCAGAGATGAAATTAGAACTCAGATGTTCCTGGGTTCCAGGTCTATGCTGAGACCAAATTTTCCTCTTGAAAGGCCTAGAGATGCAGAATCAACACCTGGCAGAGATGGAGCAATAATTTTAAACAAGATTTGATTCTGCAGTGAAAGAGAAACCTGCAACAGAGTAAGACTATTAACTCCCTCCAACTGCTATTTTGGCCAAGCTCCTTTTCCCTCCAACAAAACCTTTTGAATGCATGGACTTACTGCAGCAGAGCTCCACAGGGAGGGGAAGGAGCAATATCCTGCATGTCCCCCATCCCTACTGGATATGATGGTAATGTTTCACCTCTCTCTACTGCATGTCAGGTGTGGGAAGGGACACCTAGGCTATGTCTACACTGCCAGGTTATTTTGAAATAATAACTCCTGAAATAACTATTTTGGAATAAACTTATTCCTCTTCACAAGCAGGAGTTATTATTTCGAGCAGGCTTGGTAGCGTGGATGCTCCCCTTGTTATTTTGAAATAACTCCCCAGTGGAGACATGCTCCTAGAGTCCTTGCCTTCCAAGATATGACAGGCTCTCATTCATTCCATTTGTCTGGTCTGCTCTGAATGTAGCTCTCTTCTTAATCAAACTTTGCAACAGAATTTGCTAGGATAGAGGGGCTCGAACTTTTCATGGGTCCCATTTCCTCTACTAACACTACTCTTCCCCTCATGAAATCTCACCATCAAACCTACTTTCAGTTTTGCTCAGAGTTACTGGACAATAAAGCCTTGTGATATTATTTGTTGAAAAATGCTATGTTTTTCCATTTCCTTTCCATCGTTCATACCCCCTTACTTGCGCTCTTTTCAGGCTTTCCTCGCAATTAATTTTTAATAGACTCTTATAGCCTCTTTTGAACACTGGTTATGTGCAGTTCAGCCATTCATTAACTACGATGGGTCTTTTGGTAAAAATCAAGGCAGTGGGACTTAAAGCCTGAATCAAGTGACTTATTGGTTAGAACCTTACATGTCACCATCCTTCTAAGGGCATGTCTACACTAGGAAACTATTTTGAAATAACTAAAATTGATTTAGAAACTCCCAAAATAACAATCGAAATAGTGTATCCACTCTACAGGGAAGTCTCTAAATTAGTCCGAGGCAGGCTCCGTTATTGTGAATGCTCTACCTCAACTTAGAGCCCTCAGGAAACACTGGGGAGTAATTACTTCAAATTACTCTGGGGAGTAGTTATTTCAAAATAGCAGCGGAGCATCCACACTAATGCTATTTTGAAATAACTATTTCGAAATAAGCGTTACTCCTGGAGGAAAGCAGGAGTACAAAGTTCAAAAGAACCAGCCCATTATTTTGAAATAATGGGCCGGGTAGTGTGGACACTCTGCTTATTATTTCTAAATAAGAGGAGTTATCTAGAAATAACTCCCTAGTGCAGACCAGGGCTAAAAGACTTCCAGCAGCATTAGTCTCCCCTCCTCAACTACTTTGGTAAGTTGTGTTACATAAAAATTCAAGCCTGCGGTCTTGTTGTGGCTCTATCACAGGGTTATTGTGTGACTTGGTGCTGCAAAAATCAAAAATAGAACAAAAGTAAATGTTGTAGTTAGAACTATAAAGGCAAACAAGTAGCGCCAAAATTGTGAAATTTGAGTACTTGAGCCTTTACCCATGTTTCAGTGCCTAACAAGAAATGGCCAGTATTTCAGAGCTTTGAATACCCACAACTCCCAATGAATAATTTTAGTTCTTTAGATTCTTCAGTATTTATATAAATGCCTCACATCCAAACACAAATATTTTGGCTTAGGTTTATATGATGTGAAGTTTATATATTTCAAATGTTTACAAGTTACTGGTTTTAAAATATATCTGATTGAAACTAAGTTTGATATCTTTTGACTTGATAAATGATCTCAAATCACAACTTGTAGCGTAGGGTGCAAAACATGCAAAGGCAATCTGTGGTATCCTAATACGCACCTTATAACAACCCCCCTCCTGTATCTGAAAAGGGTCATGTCCAATCATCAGGTTTTGATTTCCATGAAGTTTCACATGATCGCTCAGAGTTAATGTAGCTGAGCTAAAGCATCATGAAAAGCAGTAATTTCTATATTCTATTCTACTCCCAGCCTTCAGAAACCCTTGGGGGATTAACCACGATACAGATAGGAATCTAAGCCAGATTTTTCTTGACTCTGCAGAGAATTCTCAAACTCCATCTCAGGTTTGTCATGCACGTGTCTAGCACACAATATGAAATGACCTATTCTGATGAGGACAACTGAAACTGATTTTAAATCACAATAGGTTTAAAACTACACAATTCTGGTCCACATTCTTGAATCTTCAGCACATTTGCTGGGGGGAGATTTGAAGCTGGGATTCTGATATGGTTTTGACTCATTTCTAACTTTAGGAAACAATCCTAAGCAGCAGCATTCAGTTTACCTTTTCAAAGTACTGAACACGTCAGCGTCAGTAATATCGACAAGACCAAAGAGTCAAAGGTTAAGAGTTCAGATGTTGTAATTTAGGCAGTGCTATCTTGAATATCTGATATCATAGCCAAGTCTGCTTTTTGAATGTGACATTTTGACCAGGCAGCTGATTACAAGAAATATTATGAAAAACAAAAGAGAAGGATTGACTCCATGGCAAGTGCAGACATGACAAATTTAAAGTTTCACTGCTGTAAATAACAACTTATGAGTTTTGAAATAAACAAGGGGGGAAAATCAGAAAATAAAGGAGGAAAAAGTGTCTTTATTTGCTAATGTGTATGAAACCCATTACTGAAGAATTGCTAACTCATTGCTACATTTTTTGAAAGATTAAAAAGGGGTTAATATCAATGGTCAGAATAAATCCTTCACTTCAGTGGAGTTGCACAAGGGATAGATTTAGTCCCAATTGTCAAAGCCGCCATTAGTAATGGAATACTAATGGTGACTTAAGATCTGGGAGCTGCAGATGCATGCAGCTCCCAGATTTTCAAAAGTGGGTAAAGTTTGGATCCTGGGTTCATAATTAGACATGATTATAAATAGTGATTTTTTTCTAAGGCTACACTGCAATGCTATTTTGGGATACCACAGTATCCTGAAATAGCTGTCCTGC